CGGCGACCTGACTAAAAATAGCATCGACTTAACCCGTTATTACTGCCCGTGAGTTCCACGTCACCGATAAAGTCAACCCAACGCAAGGAGATACAGAAACCGAGGAACGACAGTTCCACGTCCAGTAGTGTAAAATCTTCATTAATTGATTCCCGGCTCCGATCGATCTCTTGGCTTCCTCAGCCTAAGAAGACATGTTAACAAATGGTGTGGATACTTTTTTTTTTACCCGAGGATGACGTAAAGGCCATGGGATATGGCGTGCTTGCCCGGTTGCAATAAAAGTGTGACGCATGTTTCCCGCCGCACCAGCAACTTGCGACGTGCAAAGCCCACAGACTTATCGATCTCCTTGGTAAAGACAGCATCTCCAATCTATCCAAACGTACTACCAAATCCGGCCTCTGCCAGTCCCGAGAAGGAGTGTCAACAAAGTCTACGTGTCCACAATGGTCGTCAACAACTGGGAATACACGGCGCGGAGAGTCGCGCGCCGTACCTGGGAGACAATCCAAGTCAATTGGCATCTCGGCTTCACCGCGTTTGGCGGACCACCTGTTCATTTCAAGATTGTAAGCAAACATTTCCCGCCATACATCTTATTAACTAGGCCTGACAATGCAATAGTTTCATGATAAGTTCGTATCGAAGCTCGCTTGGATCGACGAGCAGTTGGTACATACAATATAGTCGCACGTTGTTCTCAAGTTCATCAAACAAAGAAACTAACCAACATGTTTCAGTACCAGGAACTTTTCAGTATCTCCCAAGCTCTATCTGGCCCTGCTAGCACCAAGATGCTATACTGTATAAATCTGATCCATGATGGTTTACTTGGAGCTGTCCTTGCTTTTTTTATTTGGAGGTGAGCCAGAAACTTGCATGTTCTATGTCTATGGATAGTTAGGGACCAGAGCTAAAGACCTTGGCCGATAGTTTGCCTGGCGCGCTAGGTATGTTTGGCCTCTCCATCAGCGTCTCCAATATCGGAGAGACTCTTCCTCGTCCGGTGTATGCTCTGCTCTCGGGACTTAACGCTGCCACAGTTGGGATTATTGCCCTGGCAGCAGTCGAGCTGTCGAATAAAGCAATCACGGACAAGCTCACCAGAATTCTCGTCTTTCTGACTGCCGCAGCTGGAATGCTATACAATGCTCTATGGTACTTCCCGGTCCTTATGTTTGCCGCCGGCTGCGCTGCTGTCGCATACGACTACCGCTGGTTCCACCGACCTATTCGAGCTGTAAAACAGCTCGTCTCCAGGATGAAAAGCACGACGCCTACTGAAGGGGAGAATACCGCAAGAGACGAAAGCGGACCCAGCAGAGAGACAAATGCCTCCAGCATAACTCTCAATGATCAAAGTCGGTATGGTACACGGGAGTCTGAACCGCGCGTCGTCCCACATGAGTATCGTCTCAATTTGTCATGGAAGTCTGGAACTGCGATTATTGCAGCATTCTTCGTTACCTTCATCATCGTTATGGTGCTCCGAGGAGTTTTGCCTGATCCCCCTCTGCTATACAAACTATTCGCGAACCTTTATCTTGCTGGCACCATCATTTTCGGCGGCGGACCGGTAGTAATTCCGCTCCTCAGGGAATATATCGTGGCCGAGGGATGGGTTAGTCCGCGCGACTTCCTCATTGGTCTCGCAATTGCACAGGCCTTCCCGGGGCCAAACTTCAACTTCGCTGTGTTCTTAGGCGGCCTCACAGCTATTCACAGCGGGTATTCTTCCATTGCCGGAGCACTCATCGCATTTTGTGGCATCTTTTTTCCCGGTATTGTCCTCGTCCAGGGAACAATGGGGGTCTGGGGGGTGTTGCGAAGTAGGCGCTGGGTAAAATCTGGAGTGAGAGGCGTCAATGCCGGCGCTGTCGGGCTTATATATACGGCCGTGTATCGGATCTGGCAGATTGGCTACATCGATGAAGGTTTCCAGTCGGGGAAGAGTCTGGCAGATGATCCATGGTGGGTGGTCGTGACCGCGACTGCCTACGTGGGGGGGCGATACTTCAGCCTTGCGGCGCCGCTGGCTATTCTTCTCGGGGCTGTGCTAGGCTTGGTCAGATACGGAGTTGTTATAGGTCGGGGGTGAACAGTTTTCCACCGCACAACGCACACGCGACGAAAGAGTCGGGGACGAGTGCAGCAGTAGAGCTCACCAAGGCTCTAGGCATTGTCAAAGCATTTCCTTTGTGTCGGAGGCGAAAGTCTAGGGTATTGACGTCCATCGCCTGGTATAGTCAATTACGCGGCAATGGCTCCTTAAATAGTGTATAGCATGCCCGAGTTCGCCAGCAGGCTCTCAAGAGGGTGTCACTTGCATCCCTGTCTGGTTTTTTGATTGAAGTTTATTACGCCCGGGAGTCCCTGTCTGGATGGATGGATGGATTTTATTTCGCCCGGGGGGACACACCCCAGAGGGCCTTTGCGCTAAGCTATTTTACTGGTCGGAGAACCGGTGTAGTATGAATCTTTGGGTCTGCTGAGTCAGCAACACATAGACAAAACGCGTCCGCCACAGGGTCTTAACCTAACTGCATTTTGGCAACCCAAATTGGGCTGCAGCGATAAGTAGCTCCAATAGGTGCCAACAGACAGACTCGGGCTGCAAAACTCACCTTCGTTCCTCAAGGCTCTTTTGCGCAAACCGCGATCGGTTTGCCTCTCCTGTGCGAGTCCAAGCGCACGAAAATATGAGCATTCCTGTCACGCGGACTGTCACGAGATCCGAGTGACAACACCTGCCACATTGTGGCGTCGACCGATGGTGTGGCCAACAAATATTATTGCTTGGCAAGGGCAGAGGTACAAGCCCCCACTGTGCATATTGTACGTTGACACTGTAAGCTTCGCACGGAGCTGGTCTGAGAAACCTCGGCTCAATCTCCTCGAGCCGAGTACCCCAGTCTACATTGCGCATCCAAAAGTGCATGCGAAAGTGAGCCAAAACTGTAAATTGCGCATAGTTGGCCTCCCCTGTCAGCGTCTCTTCTGCCTGACACAAGTAGCACCAATGTACCGGAGGCATGCGTCCAGAAGCAGACTCACCTTTCCTTCCAAAACCACGATGGGGAGATTTTGAACAAAGCGACAGTTGGAACCTGCAATGCGAAGTGGATTGAAGCGATTCTGGAACATTTGAATTCTGGAACATTTGAGATCACTGATGGCCACATTTGCTAAATAGATAGTTGAGAAAGAAGGAGCTGTACTCAGCCAAGAAAATACAATGAAGCCGGAAATGAATGTTGAAGCATACACACACACATTGGCCACTCGTCGCACGGCCTACGAAGTCGCATCACTTTTTCAGCATCATTCCAAGCCGCAGTGGCACTGCGCTGTGGCTCAGTTGATGCTGTGGCGTTGCGATTCTGGCTTTTTGCAAAGGTCGGTTTGGAGTTTGATTGGCTGTTCAGTGCTTCTTGGTGGAGCAGCAAGCGGACATTGATGTACTAACTAGTCATTATGCATCCGCCACGCACTTCTGATACTGCCACTACAAACCTCATTCAAATGCTTCCGTATTCTGCCACCATCGACAGCTTCACCTCATCAACACCATGTCTAAGCGCCCAGTGTCTGGCACCGACGACGTCAGGCAGCCCAAGAAGCAGCAACAAGAAGAGATTGAGGTTGACGTCTGATCGCTGGGTCTTCTTTGTCCCTCTCGGTGCCGCTTTCATATTGAGACAAAGGCGTGAAAGTACTTGTGGTTCTCTAGAAAAGCATTCTGACTCTCCCTCGTCGTCAACATTTATGTTCTAAACCGTAGGCGTTGAAGTAATAGATACTGCTGAGACTTCTTGAGGTGAGTATTCTAATCCCCTCCTATCATCAATGTAGATGCACTTCGGTGCTTTCGTATTATCAGAATGACCATCGTCCCCGGAAGCGCTTCGTTTCCTTGAGGTCGAAGGGCTGGCATCGTCGTTGGGTGGTGCCGATCTATTTCCTTGGGAAGCTTGGGCTGCGGGCAATAGCATTTGTGTCGTTCCTTTGCAATTCACTTCGCGCGTGCAACTCTGGTGGCGCGCCTCAAATTTGGTTTGGTGGTTCTGCGTTCGCGCAGCTTTGCCCACTCAAAATTTACTGCGAGGGTTGAAGCGTGTGCAAGTTTGCGTGAGCAACAATCTGCCTACGCAGATTTGAGTGGGCGATCAATTTCGTACGCTGAAAATCGTACGCGGATTTGTGCTGAGGCTAGCACCACTTGCTCCAGAACAAATAGCCTAGCTCATGTGTGCTAGCACACTTGTTCCAGCGCACCCGCTCCAGCACAGTCGTTTCGGAACAAATAGCGCAGTGCATGTGTGCCAGCACATCTATAGTGCTAGCACATTGCTCTAGCACACTTGCTTTGACACACTCGATCCAGCACACCCGCTCCAAAACAATTAGCCCGGCCCATGTGTGTGCTAGCTCAGATCTGGTTCTAGCACACACATCATAGCAAATCTCACATATATGTGTTTGCCCAGAACATGTCCCACTACGAGCGTGCTAGAACTCAACTTGAGCCAGCATAAGTGTGCTAGCACACGATAGCTAGTGCAGGTACCCTAGCGCATTTGCGCTAGCCCCAGGTGGCTAAGATGTGGTTGCTGGCATCGACCACTAGCTTTCTCAACGATCATGTGCGCAAGACTCTTGCCGACGCCATCCTTGATTGTGTTCCGCATACTGCGCCTTATGTTTCTCAAGTGCAAAGGTAGATAACTGTTGGAAGATGACCCTGTATTACGAAACCTCTGATAGACTGATATCATGACCTTAGTAGTAAATCGCAGGTCGCTATTCAATTTGCTCATTACGTCCGCGACACGTCACCGCAAACCAGCGTCTTCTGGGTACACGCGAGTTCGAGGCTGAGATTTGAAGAGGCGTACCGATCCATCGCAGATAGGCTACAGCTACCCAGTCGAAATGATCCCGGCGTCGACGTGCTCAGGCTCGTCTGTGACTCTCTGCAGACAGAGGAAGCTGGCTCATGGTTGATCGTCTTGGACAATGTTGACGATGTCAATCTCTTTCATTCCAGCACCAATGCCGGAGGGAACAAGGCAGCAAACCAACCAGCGGAGGGGAGCGCTATTGTTAGGAGCGATCAGCGGCCACTCGCGACGTACTTGCCGAAACGCCACAGTGGAACCATCCTCGTCACATCCCGCAGCATGGACGCTGCTGAAAAGCTGACAGGTAGCCAGAAGGCTGTCTACCGGATCTCAACCATGGATGACGCTCAAGGCCTTCAGCTTTTCCGAAACAAGCTCAACGGAGACTTTGACAGGGATGCCGCTGCTGATCTTCTTCGGGCTTTAGACTGTATCCCGCTGGCCATCACCCAAGCGGCAGCATATATCAACCGTCGCGCCCCCCGTGCATCGGTAAAAACGTATCTGGATACCTTTCGGGAGAGCGACAAGAAGAAGAGTAGTCTCCTCAACAGAGAAGCGGGGGATCTTCGACGAGATGAGACCGTCTCCAACTCCGTGGTTACGACATGGCAAGTGACCTTTGAACAGGTACGCCGCGAGAGACCATCTGCAGCGAAACTGCTTTCCTTCATGAGCTTCTTCAATCCGCAGGGCATCCCTGAGTTCGTGCTTCATAACGATGACACCGATCTGACGGACAATGTGGACAGAGACGCAGAGAGTGACGACTTTGAGGATGATCTTGATGTCCTCCGCGGTTACTCGCTCGTATCTGTGACAGCAACACAAGACGTGTTTGAGATGCATTCCCTGGTACAGTTTTGTACACGAGCTTGGATATCCGTAGTGGACAATGCAGAACGATGGAGACAGTTGTTTCTACGGGCCATGTCTAGATATTTCCCAAGTGGGGTATTCAGAAATTGGCCCACTTGTCAGATGCTACTTCCCCATATTGAGTCGATGTTGGAGGAGCAGCCACCAAATGAGGACCTGCAGGACTGGGCCTGTCTGCTGTCCAATTGTGCATTGTATATGTTGACTAGCGGCAACTACAGGGTGGCAGAAAATTTGAGTGGGAAAGCTGTCGAAACAAGGACCAAGGTGCTGGGGGAGGAGCATCCCTCTACGCTAACCAGCATGGGGAACCTGGCGGCGACATATGGGAATCAAGGTCGATGGAAGGAGGCGGAAGAGCTGGAAGTGCGAGTGATGGAGACGAGGAAGAGTGAGTGAGTTATGATTAACGCCAAAGGGAGCGCGAGGCGCTCCAGCCTCCCTAGGGGCATGTGGCGTGCAAGAGACTATCTAGCTATTCCAACTATTGGTAGGTACAGGGCAGCTGTGCTTTCAGAGAGGCTGGTTCTGCAGCAGCCTACATTCCTCCCACCTAACTGTGCTGCAATCTACTAATTGCCTTCAAACACTAGATATCTTGCACATCGAGCCTCCCTATTGGAAAACCCGGCAAGCCGGGAGAAAAAACCAATAGGTACAAGCGGTAAAGTGTCTTGTATATCACCCTCCTTCGTTCGAGGGATCCATACTCCCTAGCCTGTATTCACATCCAGATCCCCTTCTTAATCCCAGGTCCCTAGTCCTGCGGTGTTGCAGTTCGCCTTAAGGTTTCCCGTCATTGACTTCGGAGCACTCTCAAGACTCTTAATTGGGGGTTCTAGCTTGGCGCAGGCCAAGAGCTAGGTCGCCGTCGAAGATCGTTCGTCCGAAAGATCGTTCGTTCGTAGGTTTGCGGTCGGCGCGTCGTACGAGCCCGTAGGGTCCGCCAGGCTCTACAGCGATACGGGCACGGCTTGTCGAGGTTCGCGTACGGCTGCCAACGCCTTCCCAGGCCCTCCAGAGAGGACCCCGTTGGTGCGCATTGCGATATTGTCAAGTGGTTGAGGTCGTGGTCGTGAGGCCAGAGGTCGGTCTGACCGCCTGTTACAGCCTCGGTAGTCGTTTGGCCGGTTTTGTAGGTGTTAGGTATGCGACAGGGGCCCCCTGTCTACCATAACACTAACAGTCTGCGCCAAGAAAGAATTTTTTGAGGGGAAGGTGAGACGAGGAAGAGGGTCCTGGGAGAGGAGCATCCCTCTACGCTGACGAGCATGCACAACCTGGCGGCGACATACGAGAACCAAAGCCGATGGAAGGAAGCGGCAGCGCTACAAGTACGAGTGATGGAGACGAGTTTGAGGGTGCTAGGAGAGGAACATCCCTCTACGCTAACTAGCATGGGCAATCTAGCATCGACATATATGAACCAAGGTCGATGGAATAAGGCGGAAGAACTAGAGGTGCGAGCGATGGAGACGAGGAAGAGGGTGCCAGGAGAGGAGCATCCCCATACGCTAACCAGCATGGGGAAGCTGGCGTCGATATATGGGAATCAAGGTCGATGGAATGAGGCGGAAGAGCTGGAAGTGCGAGTGTTGGAGATGAGTTTGAAGGTGCTAGGAGAGGAGCATCCCGATACGCTGACCATCATGGCCAACCTGGCCATTACCTGGAAAAAACAAGGCCGTGCTAGAGATGCTTTAGCCCTAATGCGAAGTTGCGTTGTCCTACGAGAGCGAGTGCTTGATACACATCGTCCGCACACAAGGCCATTGGCGGCAGTTCTCGCTGAGTGGGAGAATATGAGCGACTTTATCATGGATTAAATCATTCATGAGCGAAAAGCTCAATTGCACATAACGGGCTTACTTTTGACGCTCGAAAAACTGGTGTTACACCGACAATTGGTTTCGCCACAAGCCTACTCCATTGTCGGATATGGCATATTTGTTCAGCCATGGACGTGAGCTAACGTATGATACTTACATCACTACTGGACACCGCTCCAAACCTTTCCGGGTGACTTGCCTCGGGGTCTGGGGGGGGGGGGGGTTCAACTGGTACTCACATCATCCGCACTCAAATTACGGACGCCGTTGGTGAGGTACCGATGCGCTCCTTGGTCCAGTTGAGTGAGCCCTTCTCGTAAGCGGTCGGAGAATTGGTATCGGGATGGCTACTTCCGCAATCTTCGAACTAGCGCAAAATGCCCCCTGTCATTCGTATTTGCCTTTGATCCATTCCATAAGGAACCGTGATGGAGGTCTGACCAATTTTTCAGCGAGTCCCACCGTTGCTTCATCCACACTGTCGGGGCCTTCCCAGTTGCTCAGCCACAGGGGATCGCTCAATCCAGGCGAGATCGCGTCCAACAACATGCCGAGTGAATCCCACCCTGCAACACGGGAACACTTTGTCTGTTTCTTACTTTCATCCAAGTGCACCATCGGCAACGGGGTTCGACGGTTTTCCCCGAACGAAGTACAAAACCTCTCGCATTTGGTGTTGGAGGTTCCAGAGGCGGGGAAAGCTACTCCCGGGAATAGAACGGTCGCACCCGTCGTGATTGCAGAGTAGATACGGTAGTGCTCCTTCTTGGCATAACCTCCTTGAACCTGTCTTGTGGATGGCCAAGGTAAGCTACCCGCCCCGCGTGATCTGACAACCGGCCATGCACCAATAAAGTCAAATCGTGCCAGCCTGTTCTTACCTCTTTTCTCACCTGCTCTGCCTTGCACTTTCCACTTCCAAACGGCAGAGCCCTGCGATTGACATGGCCCAGCTGCACATCCCATTACTCGGCAATCCTGTTGGACTCACAAGCTGGGCCTGGCTACAGGGGTACTTTTCAGCTGCTGAGGCCTCCCCCGCACGCAAATCCCGCAAAGATGTTGCTGTCCCACGTCGTCAGTGATGGCAATCCATCGCCGTCCTGACTCATCGATCGGAGGAGAAGCCATCTCGTTGATACCATCATATCGCACAACAAGGCCAACGTGCCCTCTCGGTGAAGATGGCGCCTAGCTTGTTTGAGAAAGCGAAATTCAAGGCCAGAAGGTTGTTGCAGGCCGCTCCCCAAGAATCCGCCTCGGCTCCTTCACCACAAACACCTTCGCCAACACCATCTCGGCCTGCATCCCAACCAACCACTCGACCGACATCTCAGCTAACGCCTTCTCCACCTACCTCGACGGATTCCGACACCTCGCCGCTGCCGACTCTACAAGAGCGACTTTGGAACCAGGCCTACGACGGGCTCAAAGCGAGCGAGCCCAAACTGGTCGAAGCGTACGAGAAGATCCTATCAATTGAACTTCACCGAAACGACCCGAGTTCTATTGCCTCCGAACCGACAGAAAATAAAATAGCAAGGGCTCGGGGCACAAGATGTCGCCAAATGCAGCAGTTGGTCCAGGAAGGACTGGACCGGACGCAGAAGCAAGCATCCATCAAGCGAGGCATCGACGAAGCCTTGCAAGCGGTGCAAGCGGTGAGGGGAATAGTGGACAAGGCGATACATGCCGCTCCCGAAGCCGCCGTCGCCTGGGTCGGCGTCTGCCTCGGACTGGAGGTGTGTGAGCAACTTTCTTAACCGGAAAGAGAACGGTGGATGTCCCCCGCTAACAGTTGATAGATCCTTTCGAACCCCGTCACCGAGGCCCGCGACAATCGCAAAGGCATCGCCTACGTCCTGTCGAGAATGGAGTGGTACTGGAACTTGGTGTCCCTGCTTCTCGACGAGAACAAGGCCGAGCAATCTTCCGCGGGACTGCGAGTCCAACTGGAGAAGCACGTCATGCAGCTCTACGAGAAACTTCTGTCGTATCAGATGAAGAGTGTCTGCCTTTATCACCGTAACTGGGCTGCCGTCCTCGGAAGGGATATGGTCAAAATCGATGACTGGGCTGGCCAGCTCAGCGAGATCCAGGAAGCCGAGGCTGACGTGCAAAGAGACATGGAACAATACAATACTGAAGACAGCAAGACGCAACTTCGGAGACTCACCGACGCCGCAACCGCCCTTGAGATGAATCTCCAAGACATCCATTCAGCCATCCAGGACCAAACACGGCAGCAGGAGAAGAGACACCAAGACGATGCGGACAAGCAATGCCTGAAAGACCTGCGCGAGAGTGACCCTCGCGACGACAAGACGCGCATCCAAGATACAAAGGGCGGCCTACTCAGGGACTCTTACCGCTGGATCCTCGACCACGACGACTTCCGGCGATGGCGTGACGATCCGCAGAGCCAGCTGCTCTGGATCAAAGGCGACCCTGGCAAGGGCAAGACGATGCTGCTATGCGGCATCATCGACGAGCTAGAGAAGGAACCCGACAATCGCCTGTCCTATTTCTTCTGCCAGGCCACCGAGGCACGACTGAGTAATGCGACGGCCGTGCTGCGCGGTCTGATCTACCTTATCGTCGACCAACAGCCGTCGCTCATCTCGCATGTTCGGAAGAAGCACAACCATGCGGGTAAGCAGCTTTTTGAGGACGGGAATGCCTGGGAAGCCTTATCCAAGATCCTTGCGGCCATGCTCAATGACCCGAGCTTGGATGGTGCGATCCTGATTGTTGATGCCCTCGACGAATGCAAAGCGAATCGACTTCAGCTTCTCGACTTGATTGCCAAGCCTTCTCGCGTCAAGTGGATCGTGTCTAGTCGCAACTGGCAGGAAATTGAGGAGAAACTAGACAATAAAAAGCAGAAAGTCAGGCTGCACCTCGAGTTGAACAAGGACTCAATCTCCAAGGCTGTTGACACGTACATTGGATATAAGGTGGATCGATTGGCATGCCATAAGAAATACGACAAGGAAACAAGGGATGCTGTCGAGAACCACTTAACCTCTAATGCTGATGGCACGTTTCTCTGGGTGGCCTTGGTCTGTCAAGAGCTCGCAGGTCCCCAGGTCCGAAAACGGCATACGCTCAACACGTTGAAGTCATTCCCTCCGGGGCTTGATTCGCTCTATGACCGAATGATAGGGCATATCGGTGATTCGAATGATGCGGGCCTTTGCAGGGAAGTCCTGGCCATCGCTTCGGTCGTATACCGACCTATCACCTTGGACGAGTTGAAGGTTCTTGTTGAGTCGCTTGAGGATCTCGACCAGGACGACTTGGAAGAAATCATCAGATCCTGCGGTTCTTTCCTGACTCTTCGAGAAGGTGTCATCTACTTTGTGCATCAATCAGCCAAGGATTTCCTGCTTAACAAGGCATCCGACCAAATCCTACCCTCTGGCGCCGCGCACCAGCACCATGCCATCTTCTCGAGGTCGCTGGAGGCTCTCTCGGAGACTCTCGAACGTGACGTTTACGAACTGGGCGTCCCAGGATTTCCCATCGATCAGGTCTCGCCGCCCGACCCTGACCCATTGGCTTCGATACGATATTCCTGCGTCTTCTGGGTAGACCATCTCGATGACTCGGAACCCTGGGCGAAGATGAGTGACAAGGACCTACAGGACGCGGGGATCGTCGATGACTTCCTTCGAAAGAAATATCTGTATTGGTTAGAATCTCTGAGTCTGTTACGCAGCATGTCGGAGGGGGTCATGGCAGTGCAGAAGCTCGAAGCTTTAGTAGTGAGTTGGTATAAATTCATGTACAAACTGGAGACGGTCTGACATATTAGCAGAAAACCAAGGAAGCGCGACAACTAACGGAACTACTTCGAGACGCGCGCCGCTTTATTCTTTCTCACAAGCGGGCCATCGAGATTGCTCCATTACAGGCCTATGCATCAGCACTCATGTTTAGTCCCACCCGCAGCCTAATCAGAGAGCTCTTCGAAAAAGAAGAGCCGGACTGGATCACGCTCAGGCCGAGCGTGGAATCAGACTGGAATGCATGCCTGCAGACGCTCGAGGGCCATGGCGATTCGGTCAGCTCGGTGGCCTTCTCGGCAGATGGCCAGCGGCTCGCCTCGGGCTCGGACGATAAGACGGTCAAGGTCTGGGATGCGGCAACGGGCGCGTGCGTGCAGACACTCGAGGGTCATGGCGATTGGGTGAACTCGTTGGCCTTCTCGGCGGATGGCCAGCGGCTCGCCTCGGGCTCGCACGATAACACGATCAGGGTCTGGGATGCGGCAACGGGCGCGTGCGTGCAGACACTCGAGGGCCATAGCCTTCCGGTAAGGTCGGTCGCGTTCTCGGCGGATGGCCAGCGGCTCGCCTCAGGCTCGCACGATAAGACGGTCAAGGTCTGGGATGCGGCAACGGGCGTGTGCGTGCAGACACTCGAGAGCCATGGCGATTCGGTTGCCTCGGTGGCCTTCTCGGCGGATGGCCAGCGGCTCGCCTCGGGCTCGTACGATAAGACAGTCAGGGTCTGGGATGCGGCGACGGGCGCGTGCGTGCAGACACTCGAGGGCCATAGCCTTTGGGTAAGGTCGGTCGCGTTCTCGGTGGATGGCCAGCGGCTCGCCTCGGGCTCGTGGGATAAGACGATCAAGGTCTGGGATGCAGCAACGGGCGTGTGCGTGCAGACACTCGAGAGCCATGGCGATTCGGTGGCCTCGGTGGCCTTCTCGGCGGATGGCCAGCGGCTCGCCTCGGGCTCGCATGATAACACGATCAAGGTCTGGGATGCGGCAACGGGCACGTGCGTGCAGACACTCGAGGGCCATAGCCTTTGGGTAAGGTCGGTCGCGTTCTCGGCGGATGGCCAGCGGCTCGCCTCGGGCTCGTACGATAAGACGGTCAAAGTCTGGGATGTGGCAACGGGCGTGTGCGTGCAGACACTCGAGCGTCATGGCGATTGGGTGACCTCGGTGGCCTTCTCGGCGGATGGCCAGCGGCTCGCCTCGGGCTCGGGGGATAAGACGGTCAAGGTCTGGGATGCAGCAACGGGCGCGTGCGTGCAGACACTCAAGGGCCATGGTGGTTCGGTGACCTCGGTGGCCTTCTCGGCGGATAGCCAGCGGCTCGCCTCGGGTTCGCACGATAAGACAGTCAAGGTCTGGGATGCAGCAACGGGCGTGTGCGTGCAGACACTCGAGAGCCATGGCGGTTCGGTGGCCTCGGTGGCCTTCTCGGCGGATGGCCAGCGGCTCGCCTCGGGCTCGCACGATAACACGATCAGGGTCTGGGATGCGGCGACGGGCGCGTGCGTGCAGACGCTTGAGGGCCATGGCAATTGGGTGACCTCGGTGGCCTTCTCGGCGGATGGCCAGCGGCTCGCCTCGGGCTCGGGGGATAAGACGGTCGAGGTCTGGGATGCAGCAACGGGCGCGTGCGTGCAGACACTCGAGGGCCATAGCAGTTGGATGACCTCGGTGGCCTTCTCAGCGGATGGCCAGCGGCTCGCCTCGGGCTCGCACGATAAGACGGTCAAGGTCTGGGATGTGGCAACGGGCGCGTGCGTGCAGACGCTCGAGATTGACCGGGTGATTACCCACCTTTCATTTGATCCGATGACAACCTCTGTCCTCTCTACCAACATGGGACTTCTGAACCTGGATCTCCCGGCTCTACAACCTGCCATCGATAATCGGTCGACTGACGCAGCCTTACGGGGTGTTCGCCACTTTGGCTGGGGTATAAGCACTGACTGTGTATGGATTGTAAAAGATGGAAAGGGGATGTTTTGGCTACCTCCGGAGTATCGAGTGATGGAATCGGCTGTGGTGGGATCAACGGTCGCTATCGGCGGTCGTTCAGGTCGTGTACTGGTGATGAAGTTATCTTAGAGCGGAGGCAGGCATAATTACCTCTTTGGTTACAAGCGGCCCTTTTCCGGTTGTCAGTAGCGACCTACGTAGTTGGTTATGTTTGATTTGGAAGCAGGAAGCCCGGCTAGCAACTACTTCCTACCTTAGCCAGCCAGCCCTGTATTCACTGAGCTTCGAATGTGCTATAGGAAAAGGCAAAAGATATACGGTCTCAGGTGTAGAACCGAGGCATACATGCCCTCCAGATCACCCGGCTGACAACTCCAAGCAATCGTGCACGCATGTGACCAGGGGCATGAAGGAACAATATGTATTGCAGCACTCCTTGGCTAGTTTAAGGTATATCCCACCCATCTCAAAGTCCCCCGACCCAGAAGAGCATGATGATATTAAGTTCTCCCACGATCCTTGAGTTTCGTACAGTAGCGCACTTGCAGACCCGAGCCGCCTCGTTCGGGGAAACGTTGAGCAAAACGTCGACGAATCTCCGCCCACCCAAGCTGCTCGTCTTCCTTCAGTTGTATGAGGAAGTTATCTTCATCGTTTGAATACTTGGGACTGGTGCAGTCCTGGGACTATGGCTGTCCTGGGACAGTCACGGTCCTGGGACAGATTTTTATTTATTTATTCATAGGCTGTCCCAGCCGCCCTAGTGGCAGCTATGCAGCGTACAACTATAAATACAGGTGCTCCCACTTCTCGCTTCCAGAAAATAAGCCATTCCTTGCCAGAATTGCTTCCCCTTCTGCTTCGACGCATTTGCACCTCTACTAATAGTTCTAATCACTGTTCTGTATCTGTGACTTGTCAGGCCCCTCCTGGCCCTCCTCGACTTCTGTGTACCTAAAATGCATCCTCAAATGATTGAAATAGCTGTCCTGCCTATGCGAATACTTGTCAGGCCATTCCTAGCCCTTCTCTGGTTCTGTATGTCTGTGTATTCGAAGTGCCGATGTGACCGTAATTAACGCGACAGAAGTATAGCCGTAAACTTCCCAAACATGTGTGCTATGCTTGTTGATTTGCTCTGGACCGTTGTCTACTTGGGTAGTGCTAGCCTGCAAGCTGACTGTATTGTTCGATGTGGTGTGTCACTGTGAGAAGGTTATCACAGTGGTTAGCGCTAGGTCCCACAATTATCTCAGTGCTGATTTGACGGTATCGTCCATAGTTTTCAGAGTGATCAGCCTGCAACTAACCTAACTAGTCCTCTTGAAGCTATGGGTTGATGAGCCCACCTCTTATCCCGTCTTGGCACACAGCGGTCGGGTCAGTGAGCGTGTGTATCCCGCTAGTGTAGGCCTACGCTACCAAAAAGTATATAAAGCCATGGAGCCCCCAGTTGCTCAAACACCTTATTTTTTTTCTCAAACCATATCATACAATACCAATTATGTTTGTGCCAGAAAACATGGGCGTAAGCCATGTTGATGTAGATGAAGTGGTCAACTGGGATGGTGAGGAGCCTCCCGACCCCGACGGCGATATCCCAATGACTGACAGCTCATGTGATGAGCATTAACGCTGAAGCCATCCCCCTTGATAGCACCCTTCTCTTGCGACCTTAAAACATTCCTTGCAGGTGCATATGAACTGCCAGAAAAGTAAACTTATAAACCCCGAGACCATGGTCTCCTAATAATGCTGGCACTTTCGTTTGCGTAGTTAATATGCCCCAGTACCTATTGAAGCCCTATCTTCCACGGCCTTTGCCCCTTCCTTCTTCCTTTCTTCTTCCTTCAATCTAAACCACCATCACCATCGCCTAGCAGGTATGTAGTCTCCGACGTCCCGCCATCAGGGTGATATCCGATACCGAGATTGCCCCTGCCAATGGCTCACGATTGATTAAATCTGGTTCTTGAGACTCTGTGCGTCTAGGCACGCGGCTTGTCATGGGTCTGATCCATGGGAGTACAAAATCGATCAACTCTTTGCTCTCCATGTCGTTTGATCTAGTCTTACTACCCTTATGCGCAAGAGTGAAGATCATTACTGTCTAACCTTCATTAAGCAGCGCTCCGGCCGATGTAGACACACCTTGACACGCTCATCTTTAAAGACTGCAGCTCCGCCTCTTGTACAGAGTATCCTTGTTCGGCTTCTTGGCCATACATTTCCTCTTTCGGTTTTAGCTACTCGGGCTGATAAGTCTAATAGGTTCACGGGAAGGCCCTCTGCTCGCTCAAAGTCCACCACTATCACTTTGTCATGGCGTAAGTCGTACAGTATGATATACTGCGTGGCTCTGCGTCATAGTGTAGGATACGCAGCTTGTATAGCTGGAACTTACGAACACACCACTGTCATAGTAATATGGCCCCAAAGGTCTCGACTGCGGTCGTAGATTCCATGTTGGGCTAATAATCAAGTAATCTCTCTTTCTTCAGCACCCTCGCTGATAATCATGTAGCCATGTAATGACAGCCGGCCTTGAAGAGCGACCCTCGTAACTCTAATAGATAGAGCGGCATACAGTCCCGTTTTGTCCACGATCCGTGGTAAACTGATTGCGGACGAGATGAGGTAACACGTTCGGATCAATGTGTGTCCTTCCATGATCAGAAAGATTGGGATTATTTTCATCTATTCACAAAGATTGTAATATAGCGGTCCTGAGTTTGATTTCCTTACGCCGGATATTCATGTGAACTCTTACAGACTCCGACCCGTTCCGTTCAGCGAAATTTCGATGGCTAGTGCGGGCAGCATACTAGTATAGTTGGATTGATATAAGAAAAAAAAAAACTGGTACAGAAGCGCACTGATATTGTTAGACTAGTAAGGAGAAATCAGTGAGCTGGTACAGATGTTATACTGGTATGGAAAGACTAATTGACCTGTACAGATGGTGGACCAATACGGCCAAATAGTTACACCAATACGAATAATTCAGCCGAAGGCTGACTCTACATTAATCCATAAGTTTTCCCAATAATGAGGGTTTGGTGCAGACAGGGATTAATAAGTTTCCCGGGCTCTGATTGGTCTAAATTTTGTATGGTTGGTCGCAAAACGTACCGCAACTGGATGACGGCCTTCGAAAGGTGGGTCGCTATTTAACAGCTGCCAGGACCCCTGGTTTGTTTACTAGGGGGCAGCTTTAGGCCCCTTAACAGTAATTACCTGGAATTTCGGGATTCAAATACCCATTTCGTCCCGCACAACGCCTCTTGATGTCTTGCTCCATTAAGTAATGCGTCTTAGGTCTACTCCTCAAGAGCTTCAAGATGATATGATTTCCATCGTCTGTGTCCGCTGTGGCGAGGAGAAACCGGCAGGTGACTTTATTGGCAAAAGGAAATCGGTGGGGCACACCAAGAACTGCCAGGACTGTCGCAATCAGCGCAGTTCTCATGTCAGTCTGTCTCCCACTCCGTAAGACGTTCGATACTAACTAATTAAAGTACTCCAGGTCCAGAGGCGCGATCCTGACGTTAAGGAACCTCGCCGTCAATCCTTCCTCAACTGGGGGTCCCGCTCCGAAGAGAACTGAAGAAGATGCTAGCCTATCACCTCCTAACGCCAGGTTCGGAACCCAGCCTACGTCGCCAGAGAGGCTACGGCAATGTCATACAGCGAAGACGTTATCCGGGGCGTCGATTAGCCAGCCGTGTGTAGTGTTGGGGACGCCAATTCCACCAACCCAACAAAGCTCGCGGCTCTTCCGTACAATAGCTCCCTTACCTCCTGTGTAGCCGACGGCACTACTAACCGCCTCACATTCTGATCCGTCTACTATCCGAAGCAGCACGCCTGATATAGGTCACCCTGACTTGGCTCCTAGATTCCTCAAGTGCGGGAGAGACTCACAGGACGATTCCTCCATGGCCGGCGCAAGGGCCAAGCGGGCTGCTATCCAGCGCGGCCATCGTTCACGACGCCGTGCAGGGGAGACTGTGTCACTGACTCCCTCAATATCTCAACTCGGCGCGTTTAAAGGTTCGGAGGGGCCTGGGGCAGATATTCTTACTTAATGGTCGAAGTACTTCGGGCTAACCACAGAATGTAGATGCCAGCCAAGATCGACCGCGGCCGAGTGGGCTTCCGGGTGGGGATGGGATAATCAAGGAAGGAGATGACTGGGGCCAGTTCTCGGAGTCCGATATTGACGCCGAGGACTATTTCAACCTGTTGCTTTCGCCCGTTCGGCCACGCAGGTACCTGGAGCAAATAGGGGTAGAGTGTGACTCCGACCCAGGGGATGAAGACGAGAGCGACGGTAACGACTCCGTGGATGAAAGCCCTGTTCGTCATCGCTCGCGGCCGCCTTCTGCACGGCCGAGGACTGGTCGCCGTGGTCCGGCTCCTGGTACAGGAGGGCGGCCGAGACGATCTCGAAGGCAAACTCGATCGTTGAGGCCATCACGACGTATTCGGAGTTCGGTGAGAATTCCACCTGAAGAGTCGGCGGTATTCTACGCACAAGACCCGGTGTGGAATGGAGATCTGGAAGCTTGCGCCTTGACTGGTCGCGACAAGGCCATCCTCCGCGAGTTCTGGACAGAGCTGGACAATGACCAAATGCAGTTTTGCAGTCGATGCCAAGAGAGTTGGTTCCAGATGAAGATCGATTGCAATGGCATTTGTGCGCGTTGTTATTGGAGGGATGAGAAGCGCCAGCCCGACGAGCTATATTTCTTCTCTGCGGACAATCAGCTCGACTTTGGCCCTGTACCGGCCCGGTTGCCCCAGCTTACGCCAACCGAAGAGTCTTTGATTGCTCGTGTTCACGTCCACGTGAACATTATGCTTGTGCGAGAGCAGCAGTACAAGTATCGAGGGCACGTAATTCACTTTCTCCGGGAGGTTGGCTTAGTGTACAACCAGCTCCCGCTTTTGCCGCAGGAGTTGAACACCGTGTTACTACGTCCTGCGAATACGTCGTCCCACGCAAATCTTAGCTGGCAATTCACCCGCCAGTTCCGCGTGCGCCGCCAGCCGGTTGCCATATGGCTAGACTACCTCCGCCGCCATCATCCTGGCTATCGATGCGTCGCCATCGACGAAGAGCGGCTGAATCAATTGCCCCAAGATGGTAATGTCCTGGATGCTATCCCCCAGAGTCAGGTGGAGGCTGCCGATGTTGGACCCGACTCACCCGAGGAAGATCAGGAGGCAGAGCCTGACCTGGAGGACGAGGCTGCGGTGCCGGACCTGTTGGCCAAGGACACGGAGCTCGATGCTCTGCGGTCTATT